CATCGTTTAGTTTTCTTTGTCATATGATTTGATAGCTGCCGATCATCCGGCGTTGCTGTTCCGGCTCTCATGTAAATGGAATCCGAGTCACGGAGGCGTGGCTGCTTTCTTCGCTAATCGTCATAGCTGTCTTGGAAAGCATACAGAATTCTGCTAATCCCGGGTTCCATTGCCCATTAGGGTTAATGGCAGGCCTTTACGCCTACCGTAGCAACTCGACAGTGTCGGTCTACTACAGCGTGTCAGTCCACTGACCACAAATCTATGCCAAGATTTTGTTCTTGAGCTTCTCCAATGTTTTTTTACGCGTAGCACGCTATGATCATGATATAGTGTAATACTGTATGTTTAGCAGAATGATAGGCAAGTGTCATTTTTTTGGTTTGCTTCTCACGAATATTCTTCAGACTGAAGAAATTTGCTACTGCTCAGCGAAATCCAAGTTCAACCTGCCTCTATGATCATTTGCGATACACTTGATCGTAATAATTTTTTTTGGGGGGGGGGTTATATTGCTTATAAATTTTATTAAAACAGATCCTAGCGTTTTGGATGGAGCTGGGTCCTTCTTCAAAAGAAAATATATAGTAACACGTACTATAGACAATGTTTACAATGCTATTCTATACTATGCATTGATCTTAAGGTTCATAGATACGATTAGTTAATTGTGTATGCGTATTGTGGTTCAAACTGACAAGTTCAAATTAAATTCAGTATAATACACAATATAGTTGTTCTCTCTGGTCATGCGATTCAAGACTACGATGCTTGCCAATTATTCGTCGGTTACTGTAAGTCTGAGAAAGCATTTCAACCGAGGCCGAAATCACCTATCCGGAATAGTATGCGTTAAAATTATTTTAGCCTCCCGTTACTATCAGACTAAAGCTAAAGTGGTTAATCGAAGACCATGTCTTGTACACTCGATCAATTTTGGTCTGACGACTGCCAAGGTGATTGAGGTGTTCGCTAGACGCTCTTGTTATGTTTAATGACCACGTCATCTTTTCTTAGCGTTTAGTGTATTCTGGATCCCGGAAACTCTTTTATACTCCAAATGGGAAATTTTAAGTGCCTCTTTATGTAACCTAAAATGCCAGGAAGAAATGATGACCTCGAGTCTTGTCTTTGCCCGTCCGCAACAGTCCGTAATAAAATGAATTTGTCCTAATCATATAT